GAATTTACAAGGTTCTTCATAAATAATTTCGATAATTGCTTATGCTTATAAATTGCTGAAAAAGTGTCAAAATATTTAAAAATTGTATGGTGTGTTGTAAATGCAATACAAATATTCGTTAAAAATGTCATGCACCTATCTACAGTTGTTTTTTTTAAAGTTTCAAGAAAAAATAAATCGATTTGGAAACATCGGGTTTGTCTAAAAATCTCTGTTTTTCATTATTTTTTTTAATGTTCATAAATGTATAAAGTAATCATAATGACAGTGACCAATTTTACATGAATTCTTCCATATCACTAAAAAAAATAAAATCTGTACTAAAAAATGGCTCAGGCAGCATCCTATTCAGCACGCACACACATACATATATATATATGTCTATGCATAAGTCTTAATATGTTCCTTTACTTGTAGTTTACACTCACAACACAACACTCTTACAGAACTCACTTAAATAGTTTAATGTCATCATGTTAAATTGGCAACTGCCTATATTAATTACCTTAAACACGACCGACTGCAGCCCCAGTACATGTCCTATTTTTTGATCAAATTCTCACGCCTCGTAGAGTGTGATCCGATTTCAAAATTATTCCTTTTCTCATATACACTCTTTACATGATATACCATAGAATATGCTTTTGAACTAGACCAATTTGCAAGCTTATGTATTTTTTTTATTGTTTAAACCTGCCCTGTAACAACTAAAGTCATCTTCCTCAAAAAAAAAAATTATGAAATCATAACACTGACATGAGGCATGAGAGTTTTTTCTGTAAAGCGTGTTTCGAGCAAAATATCACTCTTTTTGTATTTGCCATTTGGTTTATATACACATGTAAGTACCCGTTGAACACTTATACAAATACAATCACAATAATATTATAATTTACAACAAACACAAATGTCAAAAAATGATTCAATTAAATTGCATATTTCTTAAATATTTCCCTTCATTAAATACACATGTACATTGTACAAGCCCTTTAATATATATATATATATATATATACATATGTAATGAATATTGAATAAACATATATTTTGTAAGTGTTATATTATGAGTTGTCACAGTAACTACCTTTTTAAATAAAAAAACTTTGTAAAAAGAACTATTGCACAGTATCTAGTCACTAGCCCCTACAATAATATTATATACTTTTTACAGTCATATGGTTCATCGTTAGTCGTACATTATATTATAATTGTAGATTATTAGACGCTATGACTAATTGTCTAAACGTCTCGCAATGTTAATTTTAGTATAATATAATCAATTTAAATATTTTTGGACAAATCTAAATTGGTAATCACTGTAATATAAGGTACTGATTATCTATACATTATACTAATAAATAATAATGCTATAATAATTTTATCAAAAATAAATAAACTGTAAATTTGTATATAAGAATTGGTAGTCGACACTAAACTCTATGACGATAATTATAGTCGTTGACGCGATGTGTGGGGTGGTGGTATGGGATTCAGCTAGAATCATTCACGGTCTGGCATTAAAACCTAACAATACGCGTTAACATACGGATGAGTCACCAACTTGTACCCGTTTTTAACAAAAGTGAATGTTTTTTCTATCAAAATCGGTTTTTAATTACACTCAATTTTACCAAATAAGATATTGACCACTATAGTATGTTTGTTTATGAAATTGACCACGTTTCCACCAAAACGATTGATTTAATTTAGAATAACTAACTGGCCCATAGGCGAAAATCGTAGGGGGCTTAGCCCCATAAATATGAGCGGCAGACAGCGTCACCCGTTTCGCCCAGATACCCATTTCTACCAAAGCTATTTTAGTCGTTTTCATAATAAGCTGACAATGATTTTTAAATAATATAATATATATTATATTATTATAAATTATTTTTTAAAAAAGCATTACAAGATTTACACTATATTATTTTTTACTACAATTTTCGTAAAGTGATAGCAAAAGTTTAAATACATTCTCAACTATACATGTATACAATAATTATTGTCTTCTAAAAACTATTTTTTGAAAAATCATTAAAAGCAATCGCTAACGGAATTTGTGCTGATTAAAAATCAGCAAGCACGCCGCGTAAATACTGGCCTATCCGGATCGGAATTCGTAGGTATTATCGCCGAGTTAACGCGCGACAATTTTCGTACGCGTATACGTCTACACCGTCCACTAACTTTCGGCGAGCTTCGCTGCATCTCAGGCGTTTTGGACGCGTAACAAATGTGACCAACCCGCAACCTAAACAATGGACCCCCAATCTGGGAAGTTATCAGTATTGACCTCATGGGTCCATACCCACATTCCGGTAAAGAAAAATCATACATACTGGTAGCTACTGACAGTTTTAGTAGGTGTACCGAGGCTTACCCCCTAGGAACAGCAACCTCTAAAACAATAATCGAAACACTAGAACACAAGTTTTTCTGATGTTTCGGTTATCCCGCGTCTGTCTCAGTGATAACGGCCCCCAGTTCGTGTCAAACGAAATTAAAAATGCGTTAGAACGCTGGGAACACAGGGTTGGACAACTCCGATTTACCATCCGAGGGCCAACCCAGGCAAACGCCGTAATCAGGATTTAAAAAAAGGTTTACACGCACAACTGGTAGACGGCAAACATAAATCTTGGGACTCAAAACTATACTCAATTCTATTTTCGGTACGGAACAGGTGTAACGAACTGTCAGGCTACCCGCCCGCGGTCCTAGTTCTCGGAAGAAAATAATGCAAAAGAACCGGGGACTGGTCACTGTCAAAATCAACACCAGTACATATCGGGAAATCACAGGAAAAGAGGGTAGGGCGGGAAAAACAAATTTTAGGAAAAAAGATAGTAGAGCTAAAACGTCAAGTTCGGCCATGGCGACATAGTAGTTTACTACAAAGCACACCACCTATCTAAAGCACATAAGGATTTCCACGCCGGATTCGCACCAAAATGGTGGGGACCGGTGCGACTGGCAAAACAGGTTGGAAAGGGAGTTTTCCTCTCTGACCAGCAACCGGCACGGAAAATACATGTGTCATGTCTAAAACACGCACCCACAGGTCATCAATAAATTAAGGTTTTACTGTACTAATCCGCATTTACAGACATGAACCAGGCCGACAAAGGGCAACGCGTGGCGGACCTCATCAACCAGCTGGGGCTGGTGTCCGGGGACCAGGACGAGCCGCGCACGGCCGCCCAGGTCAACAGGATGTCCATCTACCACCTGCTACAGGATCCGGCGAGGGCTGCCATATACCACCGGGGCTTGGTAGATAGGACAGCGGACATCCAGCGGAAGCTGCAGCCACCGGCAGCCGCAACCCAACATCGGACGCAACCTGGGCCATCACACCCAAAACGGTCACGACCACCACTCCGCTCACCGGTGAGACCGCCGCGACCACATCTAGCAGCCAAATAGGTGAGTGCACCCAACCCCCCGACGCCCAGGGAGTCTGAACCGGTACCAGGGTCGTCGGAAGCGGCCCCCATACCAGTGGTGAAGACGAGGACGGAGGCACAGCTGGCGAGGAACAAGATAAAGTTCCAACAGCTGAAGGAGAAGAGGAAGGCCAGGGGGCGCATGGTAAGCCAACAACACCGGCTAGCCAAGAACCCTGAGTCAACTTCGGAATCGGAGGCCGCCAGCTAACCACCGGCCGAATCTACACCACCGGCGGCGATGGAGGGGGACATGCTGGCGACCGAGGGCGAAAAGCCCAAGGAGCCAGCACCAACCACCGACCCGTTGGCACTCGCCGAGGACACGTGGCTGGCCGCGCCAGGTCTATCGCTGGAGGGGCTGCCGGAGATGGAGTACGAAAAACCGTTCTTCACACCGGTTGGGTCCCCAAATCGACTATAAGAGATCACGGGTAAGGCAAGCTTACCTCAAGCGAAAGCAAGAGGTAGTGCAAGCCATATTAGTATATTACCCGTAGCGAGGTACCGACATCGATACAACTGTACCCCGTGTGGTGGTTTGGCGGGGGAGTATGACACGGTCGCAACGGCAGCCAGTACAAACTACAAATTACAGGCACCGCAGCGACCGGTCCACGCTCTTACCAACCACTACCACGGGTGACGACAACGCGATTCTGTCAACTCACCTGCCGCACAGCAAAAGGCACAAGGTGGGTACGGGAAGATAAGTCGCTCTGGACAACTGGACAAGTACCGGCCGGTGGGGATCGTCTCGCTCTCGTAAGCATATCGTTACACAAACAGGACCACAAAAAAACCTGCCGATCGCCGTACTTTTCACGACATCCCTTATACGTATATCAATATTATATTTTATTTTATGTGACAAATATACGTCGTTACCGTGCATACTAACAAGGCATCATTTGTTTTTTATTCCGAGTGCCACCCACCGCTTCCGGTACTCCAGACCTCAAGGCCGGATCACCGCGACCACCATCACCGCCGTAGACGCGTCAAAATATATAAAGTTCAAAATATTTATAATAAATAATTGAAATGAAATACAAGTATATAGGTAGGTACGATAAGTTTAATATTATAAATAAATTAAATGTTCATCGTATATTTAATCAATGATAGTACCTCGTTTCTAGAACTTAGTGTGACTAGTGTGAGTTGGTAGGTACTAGCCACTAGATAGCCTGAAAACAGCAATTGAATAAAAATGTAATAATTTATATCTTATTAATCATGTTGATGGCATTTATTTCTAAAAATTAAAAAAATTAAATTAATATTTTAGCTAAGATGTATTAGGTATTTATAATTTATATGTTATTTTACTAGGTACCTATATTCTAAACACAATATTTTTGTTTTTTTTTTTTTAGATTTGAATCCATTTTTGTCTGGATCAAGCAGTAGTTACTGCATACAAAGGAAAGTATACTGACTATTTTATTTTATAAAACATTATAAATCAATCGAATGTAATAAATAATAATAGTTTTTACTATAGTACATTAATAAATAAATTTAGAACGAGTACCCATCATGCTTATAAGCAGTATATCAGACATAAAGGTAATATTATAGTTGCATATTTAGTGATGACATATTAACATACACTAAATACACTTAAACACTAAATATATTATAAGTATGAGTGTGAACAGAGCCTGGTTTACAGATTTTGAGGCTAGGGATTATGATACAAAAGAGATCTCACTAAAAGTCATAAATATTATCATAAAAAAATCAGAAACCTACCTGAGTATTATTGATTATTTTTATTTTATTTATTTGTACACTACATTAGTTTTAAATTCACAATCCTAAACATAATATATATTTTTTAGATACAGTGATTCACAGTGACATCAAAATCTCTAAAATTGGGGCCACAGTGAATGTGAAGAATTATTGGTGGTACACGATCATTGTTTATTCTTGGTGTTGCAGAAATATCAGCGTTTCTTTCTGTTTTGGATTCCTCTCGATCTGGGAAAAAATATAATCATATTATTCAAATAAGCATAGGTACTGTTAAATATTAATAATCATTAATCAATGATAATATTAATTAATATTTAATACTAAAGAATATGAACCATCAAAAGAACCCACGATGGCGGATGTGTATTATGTATAATATATTTACAATGATAATAGGTATAGATTAAAAAGTTCTCAAATTTCTGATGGTTTTATGAAGATTTTTTATTTTGGATGGTGAGTTAATATTGCACAGTTACACTTAAGTGAACGTCGTTGTACCCGCATGTACATAGCAAATTTTTGTTCATCGATTTCAACTTATAGTGTGCTGTCCCCTGTTAGTTTTGATTGGTTTGTACGATATTTTAATTCTTAAGTGAGTAATGAGTATGTAAAATATTAATATTTGTATATGTACCCAAGTCAACGGTATCACACGCGTCATTTTTGTGTTTGTGTGTGTAAATATGTGTCATTAGGGAGGGGAGGGGTAAATGGGTTGAGTCTGCGATTCAGAGGTCTTCAAATTTACATTCCACAATTTCTTCATCTCTTCGAATCTCAAGTCTCAACAATACATATATAACATAATATTATATTTAAGTACACAAATTTACAACCCACCAGATCCACCGAATTGTCGACAAAATAGCCTCGCCGTTTGAGACCAAAAACTTCTGCCCAGGAGTATTCTTAGACGTATCACAAGCGTTCGACAGTGTCTGGCACACCGGTTTACTCTTTAAGCTAAAAATGTTCCTCCCGACTCCACAACAGCATACCAAAACCTCCAAATTCATCTTGACAATATTTCACAATGGTCCACCAAATGGAGAATAAAAATCAATACAGACAAGTCCTTTCACATTCCTTTTACTTTAAGAAAAGCTGTTCTTCCTACAATCTATTTTCAAAACAATCCAATCCAAACCACAACTCAAACCAAATACTTAGGTCTAATTTTAGACAAGCGTCTAACTTGGGGCCCACACCTCAAAACTAAAAGAAAGACTCTCAACACCAGACTTCATCTATTACGACCTATCCTCAAGTTCAAACTCTCTATTGACAACAAATTACTATTATACAAATCAATGCTAAAACCCATCTGGGCATACGGCATACAAATTTGGGGATGTGTCAAGCCTTCCCAAATACGGACCATACAAGCCTTCCAGTCTATTTCCCTTCGCCTAATAACATCCGCGCCATGGTACGTCTCAAACCTCTCACTTCACAAGGATCTTAAAATTGAAACAGTTTCCAAAACAGCCAAAAACTACTACAAAAAGTTACACACCAAAACAGCTAACCACACAAATACATTGATTTTCAACTTGGCCAGTGAATTTATGCCAAATAACCCCCCACGTCGCTTAAAAAGACACTGGTGTCGTGATCTCCTAAATCCCGAACTGCACTAAAGGAAAAAAAAAAATAAAAAATAAAAATAAAACTTTCTCCCCCAAGTTAGTGGGTATCCACACTGGTGGACCTCCCTCCTCACGCCATTCATGTTACCTACCTTTTCTTGTTATCTTATTTACTTATTGTATGTATAAATTACAGATTGTAAATACTCTATTTATCTAATAAAAAAAAAAAAAGTACACAAAAACCACCAATTTTAAACATATCACAACTTAAAGTGTCATTATTTTTAGGTACTAATACTCAAGGTCAGCCGGTAAAATATAACCATAATACCTAACCAAAAGCAATATAATTTAATAGTTAATATTTTAATTAAAATAATGTATAAGTTTATAATATACTAGCTGATCCCGTGCACTTTGTTGCATGTTAAAAATGCCAACTCTAGATGAGACTTCATGGTGATAATGCGAGCAGTATAGTATGCCTACCTGCTGTGGATTGCAGACCCCGCTTGATGAGTATTTTATATGAATTTGTATTAGCATTTTTATTTTGATTGCGGACACACCGATGATTAGCTATAAGTGCAACTCAGCCACCTTGGTAGGCAATGTGCGAAAATTCAATTTTATGCATGCTTATACCTGATCTGCCCGATGAACCACTGCAGGCAACCAATAAACCAAAAAAAATAACCATTTCTACTAAATATATTTATACTTCTCCTATGACCAATAGCAACCGTATATAATCAAATATTTCCTTCGTAAATCTTAAAATCCTTGGTAAAACCTATCTGGTCCGATTGTGAATCTAAACCATCCAGGGCGTCACCCAAAGGCGTACACAAAATTCATTCAAATCGGTTCAGCCGTTTATACTATTTTAATTGACTGTTGTTTAAATTTCTTATAATTTTATTGTAGAAACTTAAATTAGTTTATAAATTAAACACATATCATCGAATAATAATAGCTCGGTTAAAATACAACTATTGTGTGTTCGTCAGGGACGGATTGGGCCATAGGGAAATCGGGAAATCCCCGATGGGCCGCGTACTAAGTAAATAGCGTAAAAGTAGACTTAAATATAACCTAATAAATATTACCGTTGATTTTAAATTATTCATTCTATAATCAATGATATTAGTGATATTACGTAATAACAGTCTATAATATTATAACGTAAAGCGTTATAAATTGTAATAATATAATGTCTACAACCGAACTGAATAATAATATTAATTATCAATAAGAAATATTAGAAATAACAATAACTATACAAAAAATCAACCTCCGTGGACAGTAAAATAATTGGTTATTCGAGTTGTCGTCGATCAGATCGGCCGGCGGGTTGCGGGTAATGACGACGGCTTTGAATGATGCAAGTCGTTAAATAAGAATATTTTTATTTTTTATTTATAAATTATATTATTTATATAAAATATCAATCGTCATTCAAAACCTCAGCACTTATCAGCACTCGGCAGTCAGCAGTTCACAATTTGGTTAATTTTACAATTTAATTACTAAGTGCTTAACTAGGAATATTTGATAAAATATTTTATATTACAATAGTAACTAATAGTTGTGAATTATAAAATAAAATGGAAATGGATGGATCAGACTGCAATAAAAAAGGAGGAGTTGAAAAAATTCGATAAAAAAAACTACTTTTAGAAGCAAAGGCTTCTAAGAGCCTTACATCGTTTTTTTATTTCATTTTTAGCACACAAATATGTACTTACTCTACCATCAACCCAAATATCATATGAAAGATCTTTTTCTTTCTTGAAAAACATTAAGTCAAGACTTTGTAGTCAACTTTCGGATTCAAAACTAGAAGAATTCATGTTAATGGCTATGGAAAAACAGAAATTAACACTATTAGATTCAGATAAAATTATAGAAGAATTGCAAAAAGAGAGTTCTCTTTTAAAAAAAAGGAAAAGTGATTTTCATTTATAAATTACATCTGATAACAACTAGGTATCTTATATCTGCCTATACAAACCTCACTAAACCCCCCCCCCCCAATCACCCAACAAATAGTGGGCCGGTAAAATGGTATATTCCCGGGCTGGTCCGAAGTTCAAATCCGTCCCTGGTGCTCGTTCATGGATTTATTATAATATAATTACCAATATCACGTCTTTGTCGGAACCATCGTCTTACGTAGTGATGACTGTTACCTTTCTTTAGCTGCCTCGATAAATTTAATATTGTGCTATACGGAGGCCTTTGTGTAACTGAATATACAGCTTCCAACACCAAGTAATCATTATCTGCGAAAAGGAGAAACTCGTCAATATGTTTACCTACATTAAACATTTTATACACAATTAATTTATATTTTTTTTTTTTTTTTTTTATTAGCTTTTTGTAAATACAATTATAGCTCAATTAATTTATATTATAAGCTATATCTGTGTGTTGTATCAGTGTGATACACGGAAGTTCATAAAGGTGGTACCCACGAGAACAAAATCTCGCTTTATGATAAAAATTGGAATTATTATTAACATTAAATATTGGCGTTGTCAACACAAGCTCAACAGTTTCTAATCCCGTTTGTGTCGACGTATCTGTGAGTAAAATTATTTTTCCAATTATAATACTCAAAAAATAAATATATAAATAAAATATTGGATGTAGAAAATCATTTAATACTTTAAGTTTGATAACATAGATCCCCGTTTGACGTTCTCGTTCATTGAATACAACTCTAATCGTCTCTTTAAAGTATTAAACCATACTATGAAAAATAATAATGGTACATATTTCATTTTATACCTTTATGTTTAAACTAAATATTTATATTTTAATAATTAGTTAGTTCCTATTAAAAGGCTCGATACACTTAAAATTACTCTTATATTTATATATTTTTGACCATGGAAAAAAAAGGTTATTAGCCCTAGTAGTAGTATGTGAACATTTTCAATAAGAGAAGGTAGGACTAGGATATGTAATTAGGTTGACAACCACTGGGCGTTGTATTACATACGAATGACCGTATCCACATGCAACGTCATCATTTTGAACCATAGTCATGGGTATGGGGAGGTTTATTACACTCTAAAATCAACAGTTATATACTATACGTCTATACACTTTGTTCAGCCAGAGCACGCACCTATTTTACGCACACTTCAACCAACCAACCCCCCCCCCCTCCGCTCGGTACTCCGAAGAACCGATTTTGGTCTATCTGCCATGCGTTTTCTCGCTAAACAGAGTTTATGTTTCATTTAATTTTTGATGCAGCATTCAATAAAAATAAAAACATACCTTCGTCTGAAGAGTTAGATGGGTTGGCATAGATGTTGTTCATCATGTTTTGGTCTTTTCGAAACTGAAAAAAAAACAAAATATTATTCAAAATAAACACGATTATAATTATATGAGTCATTGTAATGACAGACATTTATATCAAACACTCGGATGCAACCGTGATTTGCACAAATACAAGTGTTATTAAAATAATTATTTTTCTTACAACAAATTTTTTTAACATTTATTTGAATATAATATACAATCTGTATTATTAGTTACAATGAGCATGCGAGCGCAGAACAGAAACAAAAATAATAAACATGATCTGAAATCTTGAGGAGAGTAGCTGCTTAGCAGTACCTAACAATCAGATTTTATGCTGCAAATAAAATTAAAAAATGAGTAATTTCACACCTTCGTAAAATGCACTGCAATCGTTCGAAAGACGTTTGTATTTTTTTGTACTTCGGGGTAGATTGTAATATTGTATATAATAATCTTAACCTTGGATGATTCAATCATAAAAAAGAGCTTACTTCTATCGGTCTAATATTTTTCTAGAGTATGTGTAAACTTTTTATTTTGGATATATTTTGAACGAATGAAGGTACTTGCTGTTAAAAACCAAAAACGTCTGTCACGTAGAATGAGCACTGGCGGAATGAACGTACAGGCTATGAAAATGGGCTGCTGGATACCTGTAGAAATACAACTGATAGGATAGTTCCGGGGATAAATTGTTTTTTAACCATCTTCGGTCTCTGTACATTCCTACAACAATAAAATATATCAACAAATGACTTACCAAAAATCGGTAACACATTATAGCACTATATAGCCCGCACCATCTATTGTAAACTGTATCCTGAATTCCTAAAATACGTCCTAAACTGTTACAATATGGCTAGGGACAATAATATTAGAATCATGTAGATCGATATCTTTAGGGTCGGAGACTCGTGACCACCCGCTGAGACGAGCAATGTACCAATAAATTCTTCAATACTTGTCTTGTGCCTACCCTGCACATGTTATTTTATTACGTTAGGATCCAGGTACTTGGATGTTTGAAACTCAACTCAAAAACAACATCAGTAATTGTTAAAAAAAAATTAAAAGATGCTTCAATTTTTGTTATTTTGTACCATTTGAGAAAAAAAACAAAAATGGGTACAACAAAATATGAAAAGACCACAAAAAGGGCTGTTTCAGATTAATTTTTTTAACTTCGAGGGCATACTACCGCATGGTAATTACTACGTTTGATGTGAATTTAAATTAAATATGTTATATATTTATATACATATTATAATATGTATAACATGTTATCTTACGATTTTGTTCTGAACATATGTTTACTCCATCACGATCATGAAGTATAAATTTATTTATACCTAATTATATGAAGTTATTATAATTAGTTGTAAAATATGTAAAATCAATTATTATTCAATTTTACTCCTTCAAAAAACTTGGAAATTAATCAAAGGTTTCTAGTAAGTTGTAAGTGGAAATTAAATGAGCGTTTGAATTTAGAATTTTAATAAAATTTGTAAATATCACGAAAATATGCAAATTGTTTTAAGTTAGAAATTCATAAAAAAATGTTTTTAATATAAGATTTAATACGTAATACAAAATTACTTCTAAGTGTATCTTCGTTTATCAAACAATCTAACGTCGACTGGAAAGTCAAATTAAATTTTTATGAGCGTTTGAAGTTCAAATTTTTACATTAGATTATCACTCGATTTCCCAGGGATCGATTTTCTTATTAATTGTAATTCAAAAACAAATAACAGTTGTTACATACAATTTGCAGTATATATTTTATCACTTTCTATACTTGATAAAATGTTCAGAATATGTTTTCTCGTTTTAGAATGTTTACGGATATTTTCAATTCTCAATTATTTGAGTTACTTACAAGGCTCCTCGTACATTGTTAAAATATCAGGTTAAAAAATTTAAATACAGAGATAACAATTTTTTAATAAGNGAAATTTTGTCAAATTTTATCAATTTGAAAATGCATGCATTTTTTCGTGGTCTAAGCTAGATTAGTCACTTTTTAAAGCAAAGAATTAAAGTATCAACGGCGAGGAACGATACAACCAAGCCGCCTGAGACACCAGGGGCCCAAAAAGGAGGACCGTCACTCACTGGCGCACTACACCCGCCGTCACCGCCACATCACCGTCCCGCTCGTATCCTCCCCCGGCCACTTGCTTGAGTTGTACCGTTCCCGATTCTGTTTCCACCGAGTAGTAGCCACTTGTTTAAGTCACGCCACCGGTGGACAGCTCCGTCCCCAGATATTATAAATACCATTTAATAAAATATCCCCCTCATTGTATATAGGATTCAGAAAGCATACGGTTTGATCGATTACGGAGCTCTCACCCCATCGGCTCATTGTGGTAAGCCCAACCGACGCACCCGTGATCCTCACTGTCCCTATTTATTTAAAAGAATTAATTTAAGTAAAATATGAGACAAAGCGCAATAGGGAAAACTACGTGTTACTATTCTTAAGACGCCGGTCCGCCGTGACCTTGCCGTCTCACACGGAGAACTCCTGATTATGAAAGAAAAACTACCGAACCAATATAGCGGGGCGCAATTCGTATACACCATTTTTACGGGACTCAACAAAAGTGCCCTGTCTAGACACCTTAAATACAGCAGAGCTTTACCCACTTTTTATGTACCTATTAAAGTTATTATAATATAAAATTCAAAATACATAATAATTGTTTATGTATATGTATATATATTATTAATTAAAACAAAGTACTTATGTAACCTGATTATGATTTTTTTTTAAATGAATATATTTATAATAATAATATGGTAGATGGTCAATACCTTAATGCAACAGATAGCTGTTTTCAGATGGACGGACTATACTCAAAATAGAGTCTTTTCTTAAATATGGTCCGGTAAATATAATAGCTTATCAAATAATGAACTAAGTATATGAACTAAATAATAATTTTAGTGGTCCAGATAATGTATTCTTTTTTTGAAAAAAATTTCATTGTAGCCCAATATAGTCGAACGACAATACTTTACTCGATGAGATATACAAAATAAAAACAACAAATTAATAAATTTAATTGAGTTAATTTTTAATAATTTCAAAAGTATTCTTTGCGTTTTACTGATTTTCAATCAATATACATATACCTGTTTGTGAGTATCAACTCTATGTTGACATAAATTACTCATGAAAAAGTAATTTACTATAAGTAAAGTTGGTATATCTACTATGTGTCAAAAAAATTTCTGTAACTATTAAGTATCTATTTTACAACCAAAATATAAAAGTAAGCTACGAATATTAAACCAGTAAGTCATTTAATTTAAACCATCTAAAATCATATTTAAGAGTGAGTTGGTAAAAATTATATGTATTAGTAATATCATAAACCTATAAAGATAACCTACTGATAACAAAGAGATCCGAGGTCCAAGGTTTTTAAAAAAATATAGCATACACTTTGGGTCCCAACAGATGTACAGCTAGGTATTGATTATAATCTCTTTCTAACGCTGCATACCAGCTGCGTCCCAAATAAAAACTAAAAAGGTATAATACTAATTGCGTCAAAAGCTTTTCTTGCGCACGTCCGAATAACGTTCTGGTCAACTAATAGTTACAAACTTATATTAATTACGTTTATTAAACACGAAACGCTCATTTAAACAACTGTATAATATAAATCATCGCATCAAATAAAAATCAATTTTTAAAACAGGACAGATTTAAATTAAACAAATTAGATAGGAGATAGCAGATTCCAATTTATAAAACAGTTATCTTTTAAATTTTTACTAATACCATAATATTTTTTTATTTAACATTTTTTCATGTATAACCATTTCACAATTACAAAACACATGAATAATAATAATACAACACGCAATATAATATTTTTAACATATACCTTCAGTAGTAGTAATTATTGCTATAGAGTATAGACAGTCCTAGATCTGGGTAAAAATAGGATGAGAAATATAATTTAATTTTTATCATTTATGTGACACAATTCATATGCAGCCTTCCTTGAGAACGTCTGAATTAGCTGCATACGGATTGCGTCCCACGGCAATATGGATTACTCGACCCAATTACTCAGCTATTGGTCACCAATAGCCAACACTGTCAGATAGGGCCTTTTTAGCCATTAGATTATGTTTATCGTTTGTATAAGTAAAAAAATGTGATAATATTATGTTTCAATGAATTCATTGTTGACCGTAGCAAACGGCTTTGCTAATGGTGCGAAATAATTTGGTAGCCCCCCTCTACAACAATGCTA